TATACATGCTCACTTATCTGTTACAACAAATGAGGAAATTTGGTTAGTTACTGGACTTATTTCATTAAAAGATATCTTTCATGTACAAGGTTATTATACTGTCTGTTCTGTATTCCTCATAAATGAACATTTAGACTAGTGTTTTAAGACATGACCATAGCCCGATCACATAATTTACTTAGTTTGTCATCTTGCACTCCCAACGCCCGAAGTACTTGTACCAAACCTAAGCCTGGCCCCCTACACTCAGTCGTTGTTCACATTTCACGTTTCTCCATAAACATACTTATCTACGTTCATGTTATCATGTGGGTTATAGATCACTCAGGCTTTTAATGCATTCTTTAAAAAAATCATTTTTTATATTTATTCTCTCCTAATATTTTCCTAATCTAGACACAGTATACCAAAGTTATATTCTACATTCTCCTTCGGTAATCTTCTGGCTAACAAAAAACTTTTTCATGAAGGGGTTCCAAGTGTGATGGGGTCCATACAATTTTAAAAATTTCCTTTGTCCTAATTTTTTAGTACCTGTTTCTATTTGTACTGGTCATTTTAATTTTATTTTTATATTTTAGATAAACCAAATTTACTATACTCTTTCTCTCAAAAAAGCAAAACCAAAAAACTATATTAGAATAGGCAAATTTCTATGAGAGACGGGTGCTATTTTTTAAATTTTTTTTTTTATATTTTTATTTTTATTATTTTCACATGCCATTCCCCCAAGGGGGCCCAAAAAGAAAACTTTCACATCATTTACTCCCCTCAGTCTTTCCGAAGGGTGCTTTTTCATACAGTTTTTAAACTGCAACATGAAAACCCTTTTGGAAGACGTGATGGGTGAAGTGGTGAAAAATTTTTCTTTTCGGGCCCCCCTGCTTGGTGGGGAAACGGCCCGTGTATAATAATAATAATAAAAAATAAAAAAAAAAATTAAAAATAGCACCCGTCCTCCCCTAGTAAAAGCACTAGGTCTAAAAGTGAATTGGTTAACTATGTATTTTTATGTTATTAATTAAATTATTTTTACCCAATCTTTTAATCC